TTTAATTTATTTGTCATTTAGTGCTATGTACTTTCTCTTCTCCCTGCTATGTCATCCTAATGAAGGGCAACTCCTTTCTGACAAGTAACACAGTATTTCACCCTTAATGCAACCTCCCAAACAAACCAGCAAAAAAAATAATGAGAACCCTGTGGTGCAACATTTGATTATAATACCAGAGTGGGTTCCTCCCAGTCCCTGACCCAGCATCTGTCTGAGTTTCAGCCTGTGCTGAACTTGTATTCAGTACTGCCCTGGCCACGGCTGCAGTGGAATGTGCATACAAACAGCTTGGCAAAGGAAGCCGTCAAACTATGTGTCTTACATTAATGATATGCAAGAGAAGTGTAGGGAACAGAATAAGGGTCTCTATGTAACCTTTGTTGATCTCACCAAGGCTTTTGATACTGTGAGCAGAAAAGGTCTGTGGCAGATTTTGGAATGTTTAGGTTGTCCCCCCAAGTTCCTTAAAATGATCATCTCACTTCATGTGGATCAGCGCGGCCAAGTCAGATATGGCAATGCACTTTCTGAGCCCTTTCTAATAACCAATGGTGTGAAATAAGGCTGCATTCTTGCACCAACTCTATTCACCTCAGAAAGTCTTTCATCATCCCCATATCACCATTGGCCAATCAGAGCTCGAATCAGTCCAGCAGTTTAATTACCTAGGTAGCCTCATCTCCTCAGATGGTAAGATTGACGGGGAGATAGACAACAGGTTAGCAAAGGCATACAGTGCTTTTGGAAAGCTTCATAAGAGAGTATGGTGAAAGAAACATTTGAAGAAAAGTACAAGATCAGTGTTTACAGAGCCATTGTGCTGTCTACTCTCTTATATGGATCTGAATCATGGGTCATCTGTTGCCACCACCTGCGTCTCCTAGAATGCTTCCATCAACGCTGCCTCCGTACAATCCTAAATATCCACTGGTCAGATTATGTGACTAATACATCTGTTCTAGAACAAGCAGCAGTCACAAGTATTGAGGCCATGTTGATGAGAACACAGCTGCGATGGGCAGGGCACGTCTCCAGGATGAAGGACCACTGCCTCCCTAAGATCTTGCTTTATGGTGAACTTGCCACCGGCTGCCACATGAGAGGAGCCCTGAAGAAAAGATACAAGGACTCCCTCAAACAACATCTCAGCCTTGACCATATTGATCAACATAACTACTCTGGCCTCCAGTCAGGAGGTCTGGAGACACACCATTTATAATGCTGCTGCTTCCTTTGAGAAAGCACGCAGGATCACTCTTGAGGAGAAGAGACAACACAGAAAGAACCGTATCTTGCAGAATATACCACCTAAGGAGTCTTTCTGCAGTGCCTTTTGCAATCGGACATGTCTATCTTGTATTGGCCTTTTTAGCCACCAGTGTGTTTGTAACAAATGTGGATAGAGCCTGTCCCAAATCTTTGTTCGCAAAGCCTAGCCGTGATGACATTAATGACAAAATTTTATGATGTATTGTCTGCATGCATTTTTAATTCACTTTACAACTGAGAGTCTGAGTTTCTGAAAGGAAAATGAGGACTAAAAGGTTGAAGGGAAACAGAATTGGAACTCTGGCAGATGTCTGTATACAAATGATATAATATGTGATGGGGAAACAGTTACCTCCTTACTCCAGGTGTTATTCCAATATTCAAGAATGACCATATGTGCATCCATAGTAGGATGCAGATATAAATGTTTTGTGCAAGATACTTTGTTATTTTAAGAGAAAATGGGTACCTTTCAAGACTGAAGGTCTTGGCAAACTTAAGAGAGTAGGCACATAGCATTTACTTCATTAAAATTTTATATATTATTTTTTGAAAGTATGCTAAAATTGAAAAATGTGATGCTATGCATTAGCTTAATTAACAGGTTTTTTTAGTTGTAAAGATTGTTTAGAAAGAAATTAAAAGCTGAAGTTTATAAGATCATCATTGTGAAATGAAATTGCAAGGTCATACTTTCACAACACACCAATGCCAAGTATGATGTTGTCCCAATGACAACAGCAATTTGCTTAACTACTTCTTGCTAACAAATCAGTCTTAATTCTCATAAGGTCAAAATTAGGGACTAAAAATATGTAGTATGCTTAATGGAGTTTTATGTGTTGTATTAACTACTTACTCTCTGCTGATAATAAAATTCCACAAGAACCAGTGATCAGTCATTTTCTGAGTAGTGTTTGTCTGAAAGGGATATCATAATTAGCAAGGTAGGCTCTACTGACCCAGTCATTAAATGAAAACAACATGCTTTAAAATGGTTCTAATGGCTTTCATTGTTGTAAAGGGTTGCTTCAAATCAACCACAAGGTTGATATGTGTAGGCAGGTAATGACAAATAGTGAGGTGATCGCTTGTCTATAAATGTTCTGTTAGAAATGTTACTTTGAAAATTGTAAATAGTCATCCTGCTTTTTTATTTTTTTTTCACAACATACCTAGAAATTGGGATTGTGTGTTGAGATTTTTTCAGGAACCAAAAGGCACGATCATAATCTTTGGGTTTTGTAGACAGCTAAACTCTGTACATAGACAGTGAGGTTTGAAGTATGCTCTTAAAGATAAGAATGTGGAGGCCCTCTGTTTCTCTATCCTCTTGCTTTGCAGAGAAGGCTGCAGGAAATTTTGACTTGCTTTGCTGCTGATTTCAACTATTGGGTCTGTGCTGGCTTAACTTTTCTAAGGAAAGTGCAAACTATTTGCTAAGATCTATCATATTTACACATATTGTAAAAATAAAACATTAAAATTCACATTTATATTGGTACATCTGTGTCAAAATTAATTTTTCCTCCTCATGCAAGTAGCTCATATTGATAAATTAGTTGCGCTTCAAAGTAAGTAACTAAAACAAATGTTCCACTTTTTTTATTATACTATAAATCAATAAATTGGAGATTGATTTGCTTCTACACAATTACATGAATGTTTATAGTTAATTGAACATTGTTTTTTGTGTTTAAGCTTAGACTCATTTCAGTAAAAAGCCTCTGGGGGCTGTACTTCTACTAATGAACTGTATTCTCTGGGGGAATTGTATATAAATAAGTATTTTTTAATGATGCAGAGCTGAGCAGTACATCAGTTTAGGCTGATATCCTCTATGGTGCCTCCAGAAAGACACAAAATGAGAAGTGATAATGTTATTTATAATCACGATTGAAGAAATGATGCCCCATTTTAGAAAATCTGTTGAAGGGTAAATGTAATATCTGATTGTATTTTATCAGGCTGTTTCGAACTTCTGCTATACTCAGTTTATATCTTTATCTTTAAAGAAGTATTATAATCTATATTTTCATTGGAAATTAAACTTGTTTTGATTAAAATTGTAGCTTGTGAGCTTTTTTTTGGTTGGTTGTTTTGTCTTATGAATCAAGACTTTTTACAAGGTTAGACCTGGTAATTTTGCCTGATGAGCTCAAAAATGCAGTTTAAAATAACAGTGAAGAAGAATACACGTGGAGTTTTTTCTAATGTATAGAACCATAAATCTAAAAAGACTCCTGTTTTATTTTGCCACCTGCGTAACATTTTCTCCCAACTATTCCATAAACTTTACCTATTGTTTTGTTATCTGTATCTAAGTTGTGTCTTAGAGCAGGAATGTTCATCCTACAGATAAGCAAGTGACTGTCCAGTGGATAATCCTACTCCTGCTTTGCAGCATGGGTACAAGTAGCCAGATGGATGAATTGTTCTTGGTTATAGCATCAGTCCCTTCCTGTCTGTATTTTTTGACCACGATCTGTCACATGCAAGAGTGCACGTGCAGTTGTCTTTTCAGCACAGCAAATACCATCCTGAAAAGATTGGTACAATTTACTGCCTCCCAGGAGGTGATGGCCTGGTTTTCAATAAATAAAACAAATCCAACAAACCAATTAAGAAGGAGCCCCAACCAACAAACCCAAGTCTCCCTCCCTCCCCCAGCCTTGTGGAAGGATCTTTATCTAAATAGTTATTCTCTATGCATCTGTAAAGTTGCCTATTTTTTTCCAAGCAAAGTACTTTTCCCTTGTCTCTTCTGAATTACAACCTGTTTCTTTTAGTCTATATGTGCAATTTTATTCAGTCATTCTGAAATCTAATCCTCTTCTCAAGTATTCAGTCCCTTGAAGCTTGATAATATTTTTTACTATAGATCAGGTCCATCAAATTCATCTATATCATTAATGAAAATACTGAATGGTATGAAAACAGTCTAAATAGACCCAAAATACAGAATACTAATATGAATTTCTACATGATGCTCTTAGTAAAATACAGTTTTGCTAGTGTGGCTTCAGTAGCTGATTTCTGAAAATGTCCTTGCAGAAGGTTTATGAAGAATATTTTTCCTGAGTTGATTATGAGTCCTGAAAAATGTAATTTGAGAAAGGCAGCACTTGTTATTTTTAAAATTAATGGTTCAAACATCTTTGCACTTTGTTCTAGAAACATCTACCAAGCAGCTGGATTCTCTTTGTATTCAGTGCTTTCAAATATACCCTTATTCAGCATGTTGCTTTCATAAAAGCAACCAGCATAAAACTGGGTAACAACTAGCTCATATACTGTAGATTACTTTGGGTGTGATGAATACTATTGTTTCCTTGCCAGTTTTCTTTTTTCCTCTCGTCTGCTTACATTTGTCTCCTTACATTTTAATCTTTGGTTTATTTCTTATTTGTGTAGTGTGTAACATATGGTCAATGACTCCATCTAAAACCTATAATACAGAAAAATAACAAGAACAACCAGAAGAAGAACAAATGAAGGAAGGATAGAGTAACTATATATTTTACTTCATCTTGAAATTAATTCTTCACCGTTGCAGAGGTGGAGATTCTCTGGGCTAACAGGGCTTTCCTTCATAGTCAAGCAGATCTTTTATGCTATTCATATTTTAGATAGAAATGTGATTTAACATTGCTGTATGTTGTTTGATAAGGTTTCATACTGGATATCTTTGGAGTCAGAATGTTTGTATTTTTTTATGATGATTCCAGGTGTTAACGTCTGACCTGGAAAACAAGGAGAAGCAGCAGGAAAAAATGCTGGACCAGCTAAAGGAGATACAGAATTGCTACAAGGCTTGTGAGAATAGGTGTAGACAAACTGAACTCCAGTCTTCTGAGTTAGCTCAACAGGTTGAAGAAAGTACCAAAGAAGCAGAACGGTGTCTCTCTGAATTCAAGCACTCAGAGGCACTCAGGCTGGAGACTGAGAAAAAAAGAGAAGATTTGAAGGCGAGAGCACAGGAAGCCATCCGCCAGTGGAAGTTGAAATGTAAGAAACTGAGTCGTGAGACAGAAAAACAAAATGAAACTATCAATGACCTGATGGAAAAGAATAGTCAGGTAAGGTTGGTTGATTTTTTTTTTTTTTTTTGTACCCTTTCCATTTGCTTTAGAAATGAAGATAAGGAATTTATTTATGCAAACCGTGACTTAAACTGCTTTCTGCCTTAAGTTCTGGACCAAATTTTCTGGTAAACTGTAAGACAACTAATAGGTGGCAATATTTTTTAGCTATTATGGAGTTCCACATTCTCTTCTTTTTCTGGTATTTATTCCAGTTTCTTCACTTAATCAAAGCTTTCCTCTTGTAAAGAAGAAAATTTCTCTATGAATGCTGCTCTTACTTTTCAGGTGTTGATTAATGTAGTTTAGCTTATTTTTTAGTTAATTTTTGAGGAAATAATGTGATGTTATTTTTTTAAAAAACTTGAAATCCTACTGCATAATAACCCTCATTCAGCTTATGCTTTATCTCATGTAATGGACAGTGGTAAGATCTTTAAAAGAAGGTGTTTACTTTCACCCTGTGTGTCAGATTGATAACAGACCTTAATGCTATGTGACCTTTGGCACAACTAGAGTACTTTTAGTTCTTTTCTGTATTTAAGCTCTTCTCAGACTCTAGGCTTAGTAATGACATCTTCTGTTGCCAGTAAAGACTATAAGTTCCGAAATATTATAAGGACTGCAACTCAGTTTGAATTTGATATGTGGAGGCAGAAAAATAGATTTTTTTTTTTGTTTGAGAATGTGCAGAGAATTTTTAGCAAAATGGAGATTTTAGCCAAAAAAGACACCTAACCTGCATTTGGGATGAGCATGCTGCTAACATCTACTGTGCAGTTCCAAGGTTTTTCCATTGATCTAGTTAGAGAGTCTGTGTTCCTTATATTTTTGTAACTTCTCTTTTTTTTTATTGCTCTTCATGTGTATTCAGTTTCAGCCTCTGTATTTTTCAGAACTTGTTATTTGAAAATTCAGTTTGTTAAAATTGATCCTGTCACATTTCTGGGCCTTTAATTTACCTCTGTTCAGTATGGTAAACCACTTATTCATCTCTTTTTCCTCCTATAAAGTTTCTCAGGCAAAAAATAAGGGTTTTTTTTTTGTTTTTGACTTAAAAGAATTTCTTGATTTGTTCAGCTGCTGACACTGCTTTAAAGACAAACACTCACATCAATGCTAGTGCTGATCATTCTGTCTTGGAATAGTAGCAGAAACCATCATTCTGTTGGCAATGAGTCTGCGGGTCTGTATTTTCCAGTGGCTGGGTCAAAAGTTGCTTGCTGCTATAGTGGCTAGTACAGTGCTAAGCTCCATAATGTGAGCTTTAATCTTAACTCACATGCTCTGCTGGTGCAGTCTATTATATTGTATGGCTTTTGTTTTTATAACACTTCCCTCACCTCTTTTCGTGTATTTTCTCATAGAATTCATACAATTTAGATTACTAAATCTGATGGGCTTGAGATGTCTTCATCCTCTGCTTTGTCCTGCTCCAAGATTGATGTTTTCAAGGAGTATATGGGGTGCAGTATTGGATTTCTGTATTAATCCTCTGTTGTTTCTGATCCATTAACCTGTTTGGAGGCTTGTACATGAATGTATGAGCATGGTCAATGCACAGGAGAAGCCACAATGGGGCTAATACTGGGTTGAAATTAATAAACTCTAGCAGATCTAAACTGTGATTGCTGGGGTTGCTGTTTCTCTCCTGAATTGCCATTCATATTCCTTACTTTTTATTATTGTTTACTCTATCCATGCTCCAACAATTCATTCCATAGTAATCTTGTTGTATTGGTTAGCCTGAGCGCTTGTCTGGGGAAATAAGGTTTGCAAACATTTAAGAAGCTGCTCATCTGTTGCCTAGGAAAATGGAGTTTTTAAGGAGAGGAGGAAAACCTGAATCATTTAGAAATCATATATGTCTATCAAATGGACAAATAAGAAGCAAAAAGTAGAGGCAAGTTATTAATAAGTAACAGTAGATCTCCAAAAGGTTCTGAAATCATTGTTCATGTAAATGCATGGACAGGTCTTTGTAGTGGCACTTGATAGTCCTGTCCACATTGAAATTTTCTTTGTTACATAAGACTCCTTGATGTGGATTTTACCACTTCTTTCTTATATAACAAATACATTCAAATGCTAAATGCAGTCACTTTGTTTTAAACCCCTTTAAAGAAATGCTGTCTGTATTAGTTCTTATTTTTAAAGTTGTCACCATCTTGCCAACAAATTTGAGGTGTCCCCAGTTAAGAAGGTTTCTTCATTTGAGGATATGTAATATCAAATGAACTGTGTGCCATTGTGGAGGTTACAAACAATATTTCATGTTCTCAATACAAAGTTGTAAACAGTTTCTGTATGAGGATATAATCAGTCAAGATGCAGCATTTATTATAAGATTCGGGGAACTAGATGAACATAATTTAGAGAGCTTTGAAATATGTAGACAACTAGCAACCGAGACAAAATTCTGTAAAAATAAGTAGTAAAGAAAAAGAAGTGGCATTCTGTTGTCTTTGATTATTGTAAGAGGACTCCAAAGGGTTGATGGCAAATTTTCAAAATTGGGTTGCAATCATGGCTTGCAATTTTATGAAATATTCCAAATATTTGCAGACAATGGGTGGGCTGTAGAAAAATAGGTTAGGTTTCATTCTTTTGGAGATACGGGGATAATTTCGATAAAGTTTTGTTCATGTTGTTGTCCTTGATATTGGTTGACACTGGAATTTCTAACATCTTGTGTCTTTTGGAATGATTTTTTCTTTTAAGTATGGAATGTAGAAAACATACTTACACTCAGAGCAAGTTACTTACAGGTTTTATTTTGAGATGTTACTGGGTTTTGTTTTTGTTTGGTTTTGTTGTGGTTTTTTTTAGCCAAATCTTTCAATTAGAATTACAGTTTTAGGAAAGTCTTTTTGTTTGATTGGGTTTTTTTCAGGAAAAAAGCATGATGGTCATGACCCCATGTCCTCAATTTATTAGTTTTGCATTTTGCTTTGCATTTCTTATTTTTGATGTAATTGCAAATTGTCTTATTATTTTTAACCTGCACACTTTTTAACTCGATTTGCCTTTTTATTCTGGATAATTTCAAGTAATTTTGCTATATCCATAAGAAGTAGGCGGTGTTTGTAGATTTAGTAGAAATACTTAGTAAAAGTCAGTATAAAATTTATTAAACCTGTTTGAAGAATCCAGTAGTTTGTGATACATCAGAACAGATTGCCCAAACAGGTTGCAGAGTTTCCCTCACGGGAGATATTCATCAACTGTCTGGACTCAATCCTGTACAATGTGCTCTAGGATGACCCTGCTTGAGCAGGGAGGTTGGACCTAATGACCCACTGAGGTCCCTTCCAACCTTACCCATTCTGTGATTCTGTTGGTATTTGTAATATAAAATATATCAGTATTGGAAAGAATACCCAAACTCTTAAGCTCCTTAGGAAAACAGTAGGATTTTTGTTACATTTGACTGATTTTTATTTTGAAGATGACGTCTTCATTTCTTTGCTTTGATGCATGAGCGAACCAAGCTTTTAACTGCTATTAATTCATCTACTGATTAATTCATCAACTGTAATTTTAAAAAAAAGTTAAAGTGGGTATACTTCATATGTAATATTTTAGAAAGTAAACAAAATAAATCAGCATATGGTATGGACCTATAGGTAAGATGTGTGTGACCAATAGTCCTCCCTGTATTCTGCTGTAATACCTCATTTCCTCTGTCTTGCTAATTAGAGGAACCAGTAAAGAAACTCTTCTCAGTCTGCAAAGAGAGAATGTGAGAAGCAGGGAATTAACCAAAACTATCCCTACTTGTGAGGCTAGATAATTTAAGGACAAGTACAAATTTGAGATCACAAATGTTATGTGTCTAAATTTAAAGAAACACTGAATACATTTGAACCGAGTTCATGACAAGCAAAATTTTTGTATTTTCACAGAACAAAGTATGTTAATTTTTCCTTAGACATTCCTAATGTCTAAGGACATCTGTCCAACAATTATCTTTAAGAACTTTAGGTCACAATGGATTTCTTTTTCTTATTTCCTAGGCCCTCAAAGAAAAGGATGATCTCAGAAGTCAGCTTCTCTCAGCTATCCACCAAATAGAAAACCTCCGGAAAGAGCTGAATGATGTGCTTACAAAGAGAGCCCAGCAGGAAGAACTCCTCCACTGTAAAGAGGTAAAACTGAATGAAATGAAGTCACACGAGGTATCTCTTGAAGAAGAGATCAAAGAAGTTCAAGGTACTGTAAAAACATTGGAGAATGAGTTGAAAAAGCAAGTCTTTCTACAAAATCAAATGCAAACTGAGAAGGAACACTTGAAGACAGAACTTGCAACTATTAACTTGATCCATAAAAAAGACCAAGAACGACTCTTAGAAATGCAAGCAGATGTAAAAAATTTAAGCTCTGTACGTGTGGAACTAACAAACAAAATAGCAGAAGAGGAGAAAGTCAAAAAGGAATTACTTAAGAGCCTCTCAGATCTCCAGAAACAGCAGGAATCTAAACGTGAAGAGATGACTTCAGCTAACAGGCAGCTGAAGATGGAAAGAGAAGTTCACCTACAGGAGTTGGCAGATCTTAGATCAGAGTTACAAAATGTCAAAATCAAACATGAACAAAAGGTTCAAGAACTCATGAAACTCCTTAAACAGGAAAAGGAGGATGCAGAGGCTCAAATTAGAATGCTAAAGGTACTTATTGTGAAGAATTCCAATGTCAGACTTCCCCCCCCTTCATACACCCCTCCCACATGCCCCCTACCAATGAATGACGAAGATAATAGAGTATGGGCTTTAATGCACTTAACACACGTTTTATTCCAGGCCATCATAAAAGCTTAAAGTTCAGGATAAAAAATGTAACAGTATCAGTTTTTGGTCAAACTCTTAGTTCAACAGTAGTGAAATAGGTATGTCTGTGATCACAACAGAAGGAAATATATGAGGCTGTAGTGTTTTTATACTGCGATTGAATGAAGTCGCAGGTGACTGAAAAAAAAGCGAAACATTGTACCCATCTTTAGAAAGGGTAGAAAGGGGGACCCTGGGAACTACTGACTTGTCACTCTCACCTCTGTATCTGGGAAAATCATGGAACAGGTCCTTCTAGAAGCTATGCTAAGACACATGGAAGATAGGGTGATGATTTGGGACAGTCAGCATGATTTCATCAGGGGCAAGTCCTGCCAGACCAACCCAGTGGCCTTCTATGATGGAGTGACTTCATCAGTGCACAAGGGAAGGGCTGCAGATGCCATTTGTCTGGACTTCAGTAAAGCCTTTGATATGGCCCCCCACTGTAAGGCTTGATATGCATGCAGGTAACCCCAGGCACCTGTTTTAAAGAAAATTTATTTTTACAGTCAAGAACACTGCAATACAACTGGCCTAGAAGGCAAAGGTGGAAACCCATTTTGGTGTTTTTATAACAACAGCTTTTGCATGTGCAATAAAAGCCCAGGCTGAATTCTTCCACTGGGCTTTATGGCCTGCCTGGCAATCCTGCAGGGGCCTCCAAGGGTGTCTGTGAGAATTTTATCACTTGTAGCAAGGGAGTTACCTCTCAGCAGACAGATAATGAGAACATCATAGCACCCTGCATGAGAATTAATTCCTTCCCACGTAAAAGCTTTTCCCTGGGAGCAAAGGTTTCCTTGAATGGGTGCTAAGCTCTCCCTCCTTGATATTTCTTCCGAAGGTCTTCTGCTCCTACAGCCACATCCTTCTCTTTAAATTGGAGAGAGGTGGATTTGGTGGGTGGATTGTCAGGTGGGTAAGGTATTGGTTGAATCCAGAGAGCAGCGATCAGTGGCTCAGAGTCCCAATGGACATCAGTGACAAGTGGTATCTTTTCTGTATTTGGACCAGTGCTGTTAAATATCTTCATTAATGACATATGTGAAGGGACCAAATGCATCCTAAACAAATTTGCAGATGTCACCAAGCTGAGTGGTGCAGTTGACACACCTGAAGGATGGGATGCCATCTAGAGGGACCTGGACAAGCTCAAGATGTGGGCCCATGGGAACCTCATGAGGTTTAACAAGACTGAGTGCAAGGTGCTGCACCTGGGTCAGGACAGCCCCTGATATCAGTACAGGCTGGGGGAGGAACAGATTGAGAGTGGCCCTACTGAGAAGGACTTGGGGGTGCTGGTGGATGAGAGGCTGGACATGACACAGCAATGTGCACTTGCAGCCCAGAAAACCAATTGTGTCCTGGGCTGCATCAAAAGAAATGTGGCCAGCAGGTCGAGGAAGGTGATTCTGCTCCTCTACTCTGCTCTTGTGAGACCCAACTTGGAGTGCTGCATACAGCTGTGGGTCCCTGGCACAGGAAGGACAAGGACCTGTTGGCACAAGTCCAGAGGAGGGTCACCAAGCTGATAGAGGGATGGAGCACCTCTCTTGTAGTGAAGACTGAGAGAATTGGGCCTAGGAAAGAGAAGGCTTTGGGATGCCCTCCTTCCAGTATCTGAAAGGAACCTACAAGAAAGATGGAGAGAGACTTTTTACAAGGGCATATAGTGAAAGGACAAGGGGAAATGGCTTCAAACTGAAAAGCAGTAGGTTTAGATTAGATATTAGGAAAAAATTCTTTACTGTGAGTGGGGTGAGGCACTGGAACAGGTAGCCCAGAGAAGTTGTGGATGCCCTATCTCTGGAAGTGTTCAAGGCCAGGTTTGATGGGGCTCTGAGCAACATGGTCTGGTGGAAGATGTCCCTGCCCATGGCAGGGGAGTTGGAAGGAGATGATTGTTAATGTCCCTTCCAACCCAAACCATTCTATGATTCTATGATGTTTAAATTGCATAGTGCAGAAGTACTGTCATTGTATCTGGAAATACTTTCAGAATGTGAATAGTAATGATGTCTAACTCTGGTTAAGTTTAATTTTGAGAGTTGTTTCTATTTCAAAAAGTTTTAGAATTACCCATATCTGTAGAATTTCTCAGAGAAGTGTTTATATAGTAAATGATGAAATATAGCGTTTTATTAATGAAGAAGCAAATTAACGTCTTTAGTTTGTATCATTTGCTTCTGATATAAAGCTATTGCTTTGGAAAGAAAACAAGCATTTTAGTGGCTTTAAGTGCTCTGAATAAAATTGAAAAGTTAAGTTGAAGTGCTCTAAACTGCAGTTAATTGTCAACAGCTGTATAAGTTTACATTGCACTTCTATTGAAACAATTTTGATTACATGGTTAAATATATATGTAGATGTTTATAATAATAATATTAAATTTTATAGTTATTTTAATGGAGATGTTGGTTTTCCACGTAAGTTGTAAATTACCAACATGTTAGGAGTGACTTCTGAAGCACTGTATATATATAGTTTTCACCTTAGTCCCATTAAATTACAAATTTACTCATCAAAATTCTATCAATTTAACCATAAAAAAGCTATGAAATCCTTAATCAAAGCTTAAGTAATTCATGATCTACTTCATCATAAGTAATGCAAGCATATTTTTCCTTTATATTATCACAAATATACTTGTTAAAAATGCATATTTCCTACATATTTTGCAGTTATGAATTGACATAACTTAGAAAGGATATTTAGTTATTTATTATACCATTAAAGATATAAGATATAATGTACCATATATGGATATAAGAATTGACAGTAATTCTTAAGCATCTGGTACCACAGAAACCATTTACTGAAGATAGCAATAAAAAGAAAACTAGATGATTGTTAGTGGAAGGATCATTAAAACCAAATATTTTGACAGCACTGTTTAACACAGAGGACTTAATTTTTCATGTGTATAGCATTATTTAAATGATCTGTTGAAATATGTGTTTTGTCTTTGATAATGACTCTGAAATTAAGGGTTTGAGGGAGATGAATTTTCTAAGATATTAGAGTAGGCAACTTTTTTTGAAGTATACAAAATGATAATGCACAAGATTCTCTTGATTGAGAGAATCAAGATTGTATGTAAAACAAAAAAGAACATTATATCCGTCTGTAGGAAGATCTGATGAGAACATATCATCCTGCAGGTGATTTTGTTACTTTTTGTCTGAACTCATCATTACATGGCAATTGGATTCCAATTTTATGGACATACTTTTCTTCCAAATTAAGGTAAACTTAAATGCATTTTATCTTTTTTTCTTTGTATTTAAATATGGTGGGGTTAGGGTAGAGTTTAGGGAAATCCAGCAGAAAAGGCTGGGTTTTTTTTAACCTATTATCCTGGGGGTTTTTTGAGGCTGGTGTAAGTTTTTGTACCCAGCAACCAATTGTCTTTTACAGTAATAATCTTGCCCTTATGCCTCAGCCTCATCCAACCTTTGTAACTGTTTTTGAAAAGGAACATACATTAACCTATCCAAAGATAGTTAAAGCTTTAAAAAAAAGGTCATTTGGGAGACACTTGAGGAGTAAATGGAAATTTAAAATATTTGTAGGACCCAAAGCCTTAAACTTAAAAGAGGATGCATTTATGAATTACTTTCAGGAAATCAAAGTATAGAGCCCTGTGTTTAGAGGACTAACTGCTGCATAGGTTGTAAAAAGAGGTGACTTTTGATTCTTGCAGTTCTTACCTCCTCTGTATGGTAGTTTCTGCCTCACTTTTGCTTGGTTCTCTGTAGTGCTGCACTGGATTGAAAAAATATTAGGTGGTTAAGTAGTTTTGGGGTAGTAGGGAAGGTACCATAAGAATAATGTATGATGCAATAGAACTGGAGAAGAAAATAAAATTTTGTATGAGATGTCAGTGTTAAGAAGGATCATACTGTTTCATTACTGAGGTTCTGGTACTTTAGCTTTTAATTCAGTTTCTGCTAGAACACCCTAAATGATTCGCAACCAATGCCCCTATGTCTTATTTATTATTTAAAATGATAGGTACACTAGGCATAGGAAAGTTGTTTGCTTAGTGGTCCCCGTTTGGCTATGTGCTCAGAAGCTCTGAATCTATCCCCTAATTTTACAACATATGCTTTAAAAATACCCTTGTTTTCTTAGAATGATGACATGCAAAATGTCCTTATGCCTGACAGTGTTGAAGTATCTGAAGTATTAATCTTTAAGGTTATATAGAGTTATGTTATCTATATGTATAAAATTCTGTACATGTATTTCGTTTTCAGTTGTTTTCTATACATTTTCTAAGTGTGTAGTTCTTATTTTCCTGAAGATTGTCAGGTGTGGAAATTGGATTCAATAAAGATCAATTAAATTATGGTCACATCTGCTTTGTCCATACTGAAAATTAATAAAATTTAACTTTCTCCATTGTGTCTCAAAGGTAATACAAGTGAGGAATTTTGTTCTTGCATTGTCTCCATCTGCATAGACATTATAATGCAATTACCTTTGGTAGGAATTGAAAAGTTGATTTTGTAAGCATATTCACAGAAAATGTTTTGGGCACTGCAGGCTTGTCTTTGTGGTCATAAGTCTTTGTAGACCTTGGATGCCAAAGTTCTTTCTCAAATTTTCCTTCGGAAGAGTTTTTGTATGTACTCTGTTAGCTTCAGCATCTAAATTAATTTATAAAACCTCTCTCCTTACCCTTCTTCCTCAGAGGAGTTATATTTATAGTGCAGTTGGGAAATAGAATTTTTGCTTTTCCTCAGAAAGGAATTTACTTTGCAGGTTTATTTGTGTGTAACTGCATCCCACAACTTATCTAATATGAAACTGGTTTGAGTAATATGCATGTTAATTTGCTTCTTTGTTTTGTGGTTTGGGGTTTTTGTGTTTGTTTTTTTTTAATTTATTTTCTAGATATTCTAGAGAATTTCTCAAGCCTGTCATTTTCAGTCAGTTATCTTTTGCACTGGAAACAAATATACTTTATTCACTCACTCTTAGGGCTTTCAAGGCCCTTTTAAATGTTTTCTTCATTTTTCTCTGCAGTGTTTTTATGAACAGTGTTAACCCTGCACTATAATAGCATTAAACCGACACAATTTTAGAAATTAAAAATACTAAATCTTTGCAGTTGTTTCCTTGCAGATATAAATTCAGTATTAGTTCCTGAAAAAAAATGATAGTTTTAGACTTTCTGATTCCAAATTATTTCAGTAATGGAAAAGTTGCATAAATACCAGGCTTCTCAAAGTGATGTAAGCTGATGAGTGTAGCAGAGTTGAAATGCAGAATCTGAGACTTCTGTTTACTGCTTTTAAGACACTATATGGTTCTACAGCTCTATGATACATATTTTCCATGTTCAGATAAGTGATTGCACTTATTATAACTTAAATGTAAAAAATTAAATTGAGTTATCATTCAGTAATAATCTTCCACTGATTCAAAACTTCAGAGTCTGGATGTGTTTTAAAATAACCCATAGAGTGACTTTGTAATCTGTTTTCCCTTTACCATCAGATTGAACTTTTAGAAGAGAAAAACATAGTCAAGACTCAGTGTCGACAACTGGAAAAGATAAAAGTTGAGTGTGATAAATTGACAGAAGAATTAACCCAAAATGAAGAAGAAAATATAAAACTAAAACGGAAATGTGAGTTTGTAGAACAAGAACTGGAGAAAAAGGTAAAGTTAACTGGTTTAACCTTTGGTCTCTCTGCTGATAAATACCTAAAATAAGTGATGGATTATAGAAATAGATGGTAAATTTAAATTTAAAAAAATACATGTATGTATTAAAGAATATACCCAATCATACTGTAGTACACAATTTCAGTATAAGTGAAAGAAGACAAAACTGCTTTGCCTAGGTTATGAATTGTATCCTCCAAAGATTCATTAATACTATTTCAGACTTGAAATATAAATCCTGTTCCTCCCTGATATCTAATATAGGTAACTAACAACTGTTTAACCAACCACTTCTTGTTTTCTTCACATTTTTCTTAAAGATGCAGTGCAGTTATGAATATTTTAGAGCTAATTTGAAGTAGGTACAATGTAAGCACAGTAAAAGAAATTCTGACTAATGTTGGGGTGGAGGATTTTTGTTTTTTGAAGTATGGAGATAGAAAAATCTTAAGCCTGGCATTTCTTTAGCTTAAACTAATAGGAAGTGTTTTAAAAGCTCAACTTGTCAGACTAATAAAAAGTGCCTCAAATGAAAATTCAAAATATGTTTTTTCTAGGTTGGCATTTTAGTGCTAGAATATCTATTATTCAGGAAATATGTTTGTAGGAGTGTACATAGGCTTCTTTAGTTGGTTGTGAACTAGCTCCAACCTTACCTAATGTTGGGAAGATACAGTTTTTAGACCAAGTTTTTGTCTCTGAACTGAAAAAGGATGTAGAAGCTTTTGAGAACACAATCCTATTATCTCAGCCTTTGAAGGTAAATGCAGAAGGAGAGTTCTACTTGATTACATTAATTGATTAACTTAAGAAAATATTTACTGTTGTGGTTTTGTTGTGGATTGTCAGAAGAAGTGTTAGGATGGAGTAAATAATATTACCTCTTGAGAAATCTCAAACTAGCATAGTGGCATTGACATGTGATGGACTCTGTTCAGTGAATAATGAGATAACAGAATACTGACACTGGAAACATATCTAATATGATCCTATAACTTTCATAGTACTGATGTAGGTCAGAACTGCTATTTCAACTGTCATTTTCATAGTACAGAAATACTGAAATCTGTGCATCTTAAAAATCTTCCTTCAGTTTGAAAAAACTACTGATTCAAGTATTTTTGTGTTAATTAAATGAAAAAATCAGACTGTTTATCAGGTATGTGTTTTCACATTTGTAGGTCACCTACATTAAAAACACCTATTTTGCTAGTAGAAGTAACACCTATGCATAAATATGTATACAACCTCATGAAAGGAGGTAGCAAGGAGGGTGTTGGTCTCTTCTCCCAAGTAGCAAGTGATAGGACAAGAGGAAATAGCCTCAAGATATGCCAGGGGAGGTTTAGATTGGGTATTAGGAAAAATTTATTCACACATTGGAAGAGGATTCCCAGGGAAGTGGTTGAGTCACCATCCCCTATTTAAAAGATGTAGATGTGGTACTCAGGTGTGGTTGACTTGGCAGGGCAGGATTTGCAGTGGATTCAATGATCTTAGAGTTCTTTTCCAACCTAAATGATTCCATGATCCCATATGTATCCCATTCACAGAACCTGTATGTTAGACCTAGCTCCATATTGGTGTCTCATAAGAGCAGTGTGTGAAGATTTCCAACAAATACACTTTAAACAGTTTTATCTTGCCATTGTGAAGGTCCACAATTAATAAAGTTTCATAATTATTATTCTTACTCTTCTCACCATTCTCAGTGCACTTGCATACACTAAAATATTCCTGTTAAAGTGTTTGCCCTTCACTGCACTACATCCTCCTGATCTCTGCAGCAGACAAATGTGTTTCAATATCACTTTTTCTCACAAGATGAGGGTTTTTTTAATATTAATTACAATGCATAATTCAATGTTTTGTATAATCTGCCAGAGGTTTTCTTCAGTTTTACATGGTGGCGCTATCACAGATATAAAAGAAGTGAATCTGAATTTTAAAAACACAGGTAACATATTTAATGAACTTTCTGACATTAGATAACTTAAAATGCTTTCCTTAGTGCTACTCACTGTCCTATGAGATATTTTTTGAGTAGTTTTCCTTTGAGAGCACACTGACCGCCAATAAAATTTACCTTTAGGGATCTCTTTTCTGATGATAGAGATTAGATGCTTGTAACTGGTTCATGGCAAAAGATAATAAGTATTTGTTATGGACTCTCTTTCTACTTGTGGGAAGGAGATTTGTAATAGAATGTTTATTTTTGACTTTGAAAATAAGCTTTTTGATTGTTGAGTTTGGATTTGGTAGCAGTTTATTCGTAACTGATTTACAAGAGAATGGGGAGAATCAAGAGAAGAACTTATGAGTGCTACTAGAAGGTATTGTTTTCCCGTGGCAAGGAATTGAACTTTGCATGAATGAGTATATTGTGATTATAAGATTGAAAGATATATTGCTAATGATGTATGTTATATTACTAATGCAGTAATTTCTCTTTGTTTTGTTTTTCCTCTTTCACTCCAGGAAAAGCAGATCAGCAATGAGGAAGATCATTTGAGAAAGATGAGCGAGGCCAGACTGCAGTTTAAGGATCAGCTGCGTCACTTAGAAATGGAACAGCAATCCATTCTCTCCATGATAGGAAGTGAAATTGATTCTGCTTGTGAAATTTTTTCTCGGGACTCTGTGGAAAAATTCAAAGTAATTCTAAGTTTTAACTTAGTAATTCTAAGTTTAAGCTGCAGGCTTTGTTATTTTCTTAATGAAATTTGTAGTAGAACTTGTATTCATTGTTGTCACCTATCACTTAACTGTATAGATAATTTATGGACAATAGAATTATGGATATTTAGGTGGTTCGGAGTGACATTGCTAGGTCATATATTACCAGTACTGCTTTCTTTTGCAATTTCTTTTTTTAATAGTTCTGCTTTTGCTTTAGTGAGAGGACCTTACATCAGCCAGACTTTTGAGGCAGGTTTTCCTAGGCCATGTTCCTAGAGTTGGGAAGTCCCCCAAGGAAGACCTAAAATGCATTTAAAGTTGGGGGAAAATGAAAGAAAACTGTTGTTAAAATTCATTTAGTTGCTTTGTTTTTTAAGTAGAGAAGTAAATGCTGGAAATGAAAAGAATTTATGATCTCCTCTTCTGGGGAGCAGGTCCTTGTATCCAGAAAACTCTGACTTAGATTTTCAGGAAACTGGTAGCTTGCTGTAATTTTTTCTTTGCTATTTTATTACTTCTTCTGCAACCCCTGTCTCCCTCTAGCTTTTCTCCTGACCATTCTGGTTTGCTCCCCAGGTACAGAAACCACTCTTCCTCCCTGCACATGATTCTACAAGACTAATCCTCTTAAATCAACATTGTACATTGCTGAGAATAAAGAAAGCAGAGTCTGACTCAGCTTGTCGCCACACTCAGTAGCATTTTGGACATTCACAAATGCTTGACCTGGTGGCTTTTTCCAGAGTACACTCAGATTACATCTTTTTCTATTTTGTTTTTTAAACAGAGAATACTTTGTAGTTGCTGGTCACTTGACTGGGCTGGGCTGCTTTTCAAACAGGAATTTTTCACCATTGACACCATTTCTCCACTTACCTATGGAGCTGGGATGTTGCAGCACAAAAACAGATGAAAATTCTAAGAAAAAGTATTTGATAAACAAGCTTTCTGCTCTGTATCCTTACATATAAGTTTCTTTTTTTATTAAATCTTTATCTGGTATAGTTGCCACATTCTTGATCATTGAACCATGCCTTCTTGGACTTGCTTCCCACCTCCTGCTGAGTCTTTGGCTTCTGGATAAAGTTTTGCAGATCTCTGATACAATTCTTCTTATTTATCCCCTCTAAGTTTTGACCACTGACAAAGTTAAACCAGTTTTGAATCTGAATTTTTGACTAGACAGCAAATATGAAAACAAATGTTAAACAGTTTTGTGGTGCCTGGTATGATTTTTTTTTTTAAAGAAGGTAAGAAGGTTTCTTTACTGTATTTTCCTCTGCCCAATACTTTAGATATTGGCAAGGTTTCTAAAAGGTTTCATACAAGTTCTTTGCTTCAAGAAGTTGGCACTGCAACTGAGGTGAGCAATGAGGAATTTGATGGATAAATACTTGTATTAAGAGAAGTTAAATACTAGGCTTACTCTTCCCTGACAAAAAATGATTTGTTTGATTAATTTCCAGTAAGCAGAAAACACTTTCTCCTTTGTGTCTCATTCCCATTTTTATGTCTTTCTTTCATTCTTTTCCATAGGCAATATCACTTACACCAACAGTTCTGAATGATCCTCATCGCTGGTTAGCAGAAACAAAGGTAATAGTCAAACCTCCTGAAATTTTACTGAATAAACTAATATCCAACAGTTGTGCACCCTGAAATAGTGGGAGGTGTCCCTGCACATGTCAGGGAGTTGGAACTAGATGGTCTTTAAGGTTCTTTTCAACCCTAACTATTGAGTGAGTGGATAAGTCTGTGAATGGATGGGTCTGAATCAGTCAAAAGTGTGTTTGAAAAGGCACTTTTGGCAATAATTCTGATATTCCCAGACTGTTATTTCAACTGATGGAATAATTTTCCAAATTTTTCAACAAGAAATAGCTGTCTCTATAGCAAAATAAATAACAATGTTGTTTTCACAAAAAAATGCATTGAAGTAACTGCAGTGATAGCCTTTAGATCTGTTTCAATTATTTTCAGACAATGAAAACGTGAGAATGTAGTTGTCAGGTTAAGTTTCTCTTGCAGCATTATTACAAGGCAAGAATTTTTTTTAAAATAAGGCTGTTATTACTTAAATCTAAAAGATATTAGATTGGATTCTTGGGAAATGAACTATTTTCCTTTCCTCTTTGTTTGAATCTTTTGAATCCTGTAATGTGTGTGCAAACATCCTTGAAAACATCTTCAAGGTGATGACTGGTAACTCATAAATCTTGCCTTTCATTTTGCAGCTTTTCTCCAGCTCCCCCAACTCACACACATAAACACATTTCTTATCCAATATCTTTTAAAAGAAATAAGTTTCTCATGATCAAAGGAGATCACAAGAAACTGTGGAAGACAACTTCAACTTTTTTTTTTTTTTTTTTTGCTTCATATGAAAAGGTCAAAGCCACAGGAGAATTGACCTAAGGAAAAAAATTGTAAATGTTTGCATGTAAGAGAATTTAAGGTTATTGTGTCAGACTTGTAGACCAAGAAAGACTACCACTAGATAGAAGAGATAAAATTAGATTTGAAGGAGAAAGGTTATGCAAGAAGTATTTTCTTCATTTGAAAAAGTGACAGAGATATTATTAAAAAGAACTTTCAAAGAGCACCTAAAATCATTTGCGTATGTTTCTCACTTAAGTTCCTTTAGCTGCTAGAGGGAAGTCTAGAATGAATGACTACTTAAAATTCCACTTTTATTTTCTTTTGGTTTTAAATAGGCAGTGTAAAAGTATTCCATTTGATCACTTCTAGATTTACTATATTGATCATGACTTTATCGATGAGCTCTTATTTTTCTCCTCTATGTGAACCTTAAATATTAACTTCTGCTGACCAGAAAGGATTGATGTCACTTTTTTAGAATGGATAAATGCTTTAAATTCTGTCAACATGAAACAGAGAAAGAAAAGTATTCTGAAAGGAAGAAGTATCTCTTGGTGTCTATGTGTACGCTAGTTCAACCGGAATTTCCATACATACACTAGGAAATTCATGCTTCTGATTTAAAAAGAAATAAAATCATGTAAAAGAAAATCAGTGTATTGGTTTTTCACATACAATTATCAACCAAAATATGTCATTTGAGACTATTGAAGGTCAACATATGTTCTCTTAATATCTCTGAATGTCCCCTTCTATTGTCATTATTATTCAGTAATAGGTACAAATTACTAATCTTTGACTCCAAAGATAATTTGATCAGTGAACAGTTGTGTCCTCTTATTTTCATTAGAATTCTTTACTTTTTATTGTCCCATTTTTTTAATGTAGACTAAGCTTCAGTGGCTGTGTGAGGAGGTAAAGGAGAGAGAAAGTAAGGAAAAAAAGCTGCGATGCTACTTACTGCAAAGCCGAGAACAGCTCCAGCACTTTACACAGATGAAGGAGACTGAACATCAGTCTCTCTTTAAGCAGATAAAAAACCAAGAAAAACTTCTGGAAGAAGTTCACAGAGAAAAAAGAGGTATGTTGCTAGTTCCATTTTTCATTTTTGTTAATAAAAGGGAGAAAGAATTTAAAAATTGTAATTCCTATGGCACATTTGGATATATTTAATCAATTAGTTATTGAAAACTGTAATTTGATAATCTGCTAGTGGTAACTAAGAAAAAAGTTAGGGGTTTTTGTTTTCCCTTGCTGACAAAAAAAGGCAAATATAATCAACTATGTTTCAACCCAGTACAATGGCTGAATAACACAAGAGTTCGCATCATGCGCAGTGGATATAAAAATTATTTTTCAACTGTACCATCTGAGACATTCCATGACCTGGGCAAAGAGGAATATACAAGAGTCTGAGGCAGTGTGAATTAGATTGCTGTTTACATAGCTCCCTGTGTCATGGTACAATCCTTGATTGTATTCCATGACCTCAGTTTCCAAAGGAAGGTGTTACCTCTCAGGTTTTCTTGTGTTTTCTTTAAAAGGCTTGTTCTGGCCTTTATTCAGGGCTCCATACTGATATGATGGGACAGACTAAGTACTGTCTTTAATAATTTTGGTAGTTGTCATTTTATGTTGACTCTCAGATGAGAGTAAACTTTTAGTAAGCATAGTTATAGCTTCCAGTAGCTGACTTATTATTGAAAATGTTTTATGAAATGTAACAAAAATAAAACAGCTGCCTAGTTTGGATTGGAACAGAGTTAAGGAGCATGCAGTGTTTTGGATTTAGTACGAGAATAATGTTGTTAGCACACTGATGGTTTAGTTGTTACACCCTAAGTCAAGGACTTTTGAGTTTCCCATGCTCTGCCAGTGAGCAGGTTCACAAGCACCTGGGAGGGAGCATGGCCAGGGCAGCTGACCCAAACTGGCCAAAGGGATATTCCATACTACAGAACATCATTCCCAGTATATAAACTCAGGAGAGTTGTCCAGGAGGAGTCAATCACTGCTGACGAATGGGCTGGGCATCACTCAGCAGTGAGCAATGGTATAGCGCCTGACTTGGGGGGTTTCTGTTTTTATTTCTAGCTTTTGTTGTCTCCCTTTTCATTAAAATTGTATTATTTTTATTTTATTTTGTTTTATTATTTTATTTTTATTAAATTTTTATTTATTATTTTATTTTATTTCAATTCTTAAGCTGTTCTTATCTCATCCTGGGGGTTTTAGCTTCTTTCTTATCCTCTTCCGTATCCCACCAAGTGTATGTGTGTGTGAGCAGTTGGCTGCATGGTACTTAGTTACCATCTGGGGTTAAACCACCACTACAGCAGCAGTAACAAATAAAAACATTCTTGTAAATATTTTATAGAACAATGCAGGTTATTTGTTTTAAAAGAATAAAAAAATTCTGTCAAGATTTTCTTCCTCTGATTACAAAAAAATTAGAAAGAGAACGTTTTGATCTTTCAAGCTTGAATGTTTCTACTATTATCCTTCATTTTTTTAAAAAGATAACACCCAAATCCTTATATGACATTAATAGTGCTTTAGTGTTCTTATATTGGAATAATTATCTGCTAAGATGATATCCCTGAGGCCTTATTTGCCTTTTTTAATAAATAAAACAAACCTTATTTAGTTCTCAGTTCTGTTGAACCTTATTTGGTTTAGGTTTTGTGGAACAATTCACAGCCTGCATTTAAATTTCAACCTATAGGTGAAGTTATCATAGGAAATTATTAAACTGAAAAGAGTGTTAAGAAGTAATACTATTCACTGAGCACAATAAATAGTATGTAGTCTCATACCTTCTATTTATAAGGGCCATGCCTTTTTCCCCTACAAGTGTGCTCAGTTCCGTTTGTTACTTCACATACTACAACTTTTGCAATTTTAAGTTCTGCTCTGTCTATTTCTAGAGGTGGATGCTGGTTAAAAGTAGATAATAAAAAGAAATAAGTTACATAGTTGTTAAGGTTTTCTATGTAACAGAAACCAGTAAACATTCTTTAAAATTCAACCTAATACAGGATGAGAAATAGGACTTTAAAAAGGAGGACAGGTTGCCAACAATGCAGGCCAGTGTTAGGTTTAAAGCCTGGGGTCAGGGTACACACACACGCTAAGGATCCAGAACCACATGGGTACAAAGATAGCAACAGAGGAAGATAGGTAACTTTGACTGCTGCTGGTGGATTTTCCCAAAATATCCTTCTTGCTGTCTTCACTTAAAAATATTCATAAAAGATTAATTTTTGTTTTGAATTTTATTTCTAATTTAAATAATGGTAATGCAATTTACTCTTTTATAGGAAAATAGTCTGAAAATACTCAATTAAAGTTTACATAAATCAAAACTTATGAAAATAAGACAGAGAAATTGTATTCTTAAGAAATTAATTTGTTAATTTCCTTTCAATTATAGTTCTGACTTTATAGTTTATTCATGCTTTTTAGGGAGAAAGAATAAAAATAGAGATTTTTGGTGGACATACCCAAAGTAAGTAGGATGAATTATTTCAATTGCTTTGTTGATGAACACATTTAAGGAATTTTTGTAAGCTCAAATAGATCTACTAAAACTTTTGACTGTGTAGGTTTTTGTCTTTCCCCTTCACCAAAGCATTTGTAAACATCTAGGATACTGTAGGCTTTTGCATCCTCCTTATGAGTTTCTGTAGAAGTGTTAACATTATCACAGTCCTACCTTTGATGGTATAAACTGGCTGTCCATGTGGTATAATCCTGATAAATACAAGTAAGATAACATAAAGATTCATGAGTTAATGAATAGAGAATGAAGAAAAATGAAGTCCTGTAGCATAGAATTTCAGGATTGTTTGCAGAGTAGCAGAAGTTTCGTAGTTATCTGATGATGCTACACGGTCAGCTGTAGTTTTCTTCCCTTCTCGATAAGCATACCATGCTGGAGAATATAGAAATTCAGAAGTCTAGCCATATTTGTAAATTAAGTAGAACTGAAGAGGATGTGAGTTCTGATTTCTGGTTTGCAGATTTTTACTTTGGATACAGTTCACTATTTAACAAGGTACTTGTCTAGCATGCTACACAATGGGATATTTCATTAAGTAACAACTTGGATAAAAATAAAAATTTATTAGATTTTTCCTCCTAAAGCGATTTTGTTCTTAACAATCAAATTTATTTCAATAGCATTCATTGCTCTAGATATTCAGTATTTTAACAAAATGAACAGAAGTCTGAAACAAAAAGTATAAATTCCAGTTTCTTAACTAAGTTTCATTTGCATTCTGGGATCATTGAGCATTCCAGTGTTCTTACAGATCTGTTTAAAAATTAATTTAGGTAAGAAGGATTTTATTTTTCTTATCTTTTTAATACCATACTCACAAATTGCACCCAAGACCTGACCCAAATTTCTTTCATTTATTGCCTTTTATATGGTCTAGGCACTCTGGGTAGTCTGAAAAGCTTATCATTCAAATCAGTGAAAGTCTGTATTTGATATTTAGATTTACTTTAGTTGCCTTTCCAAGAAAATCTTCTTGTTATATATTGGCACGTATAGAAGGTAGACAGAATGTGGTATGTAGTGGTGAGACATGGAGTCTGCACAGTTGTTTTGTTTCAGGAAAATATACTGCTACTATCAACAAAGAAATGTTTTGCAAAATAAGATGTGATGTATTTGGCAAGCCTGTATCTGTTCTTTTTTTTATAAAGCAATGTAAGTAAGGCTATAGTGATGTAAGAAGAGCAGGTGCATTTCTCTCATATACTGACCTTACACTGATTTAATTTAATTTGGAGATATAATATTCTGCAAATACTGTTTTACATAAAGTCCCAGGTGATGCAAGACATATTCTGTACCAATTATCAGTGTCTACTGAGGTAATACTCTGTAATCACACTGAAATTGTTACACATTTAGAATTTCTCTGATGTAGATTATACTAAGCTAAGTAAGGCTTAAGAAGGTAACAATACTAGTCCTCAGATATGACAGACTAATGTTACATGGTTTTGTTACAAGCACAAATCTATACAGGGCAAGTCAGTTGTGTTTTGTTTATGCATTAACATTATCATTCATGCATTTGTCATTGTGTATTGTCTTAGATTTGAGGATACAAAAATCAAATATTGGAAGACTTATATTTTAACTGGTTTTACTGATGGTGTCATCTCCGTGAATCATATGGGTACCTGCTAGTTTTATCACTTTTCATGAAAATAAGTACAAAGACTTTGATAAGTGATCTCTGAAGCAAGATATCAATTTATTTTAATTTTCTTTTTCTGCTAGGCTCCGTAAGGATTATTTGTTACATAACTGCTGGGGAAAATGTAGACTCTAAAGAGCCTGTTATATTAAAGTTGATTCAAAATGTAGGTAGAACATTACTTTGACAAAACCTAATCTATCAAATTATATTCCTTTTTTTTCTATTTTATAGTCAGTAAGTACAGTTTTTGTTTGAGCCAGGAATACTAAAGCAGAAAGTGTAAAAATTTAAAATACAGAAACAATGTAGTATATTGAGTGCAAATATACTGACAATGAAGAGTTTCTGTTGCTTACACTGAGGCAAAGTATGAAATTGGAAACCAGTGAAAATCAAAACATTATAAAATCTTTCTGTTATGATGTATTATGTTTAATTTAGTAGTAAAGTACATGTGCTGTTCTGAAGATACCTTTAAGACTGCTTCTGCCCTTTCAGCTTTGTTTGTTTCTTTCCCATTCATTTTCTTTTTCCCATATATTGCATCATTTTGCCCCTGACAACACAGTCCTTTCTGTGGCAACAAGAAACATCACAAGGTATTTTCAGGTCATCTCTTATTGAACAGTGAATGGGAACATCAAGTAGAAAAAACTCTTAAGCATGCATACATACAGGAAGGAATCTGAAGGAATTCAGAGAAACTCTCCATAATACTTGGTTTTCATGGTGAACTTCAAAATGCATGAAGTTGAAATATTATTACTATTAAAATAATTGATTTCTTCTTAATAGTGCTCTTGCCCTTTAAGTAATGTTTGGTTTTTTTAATGTGATGGGGGAAGGAGGAGGGAGGACTTCT